ACTGAACGCCTCCTCCCCCTCCCCCCCCAAAAAAAAAAAAACTTAGTACCCACTACCATTTGGGTCACAATTGAATCAGGGGCTATAACTGGAGTACCGGAACAAAACCCCACATCACATTGCTATCTTATGGTTAAACTTTCAAGCCAAAAGCGCAGGGTAGGGTAATTCAACTAAATTCTGCTTCTCCGCCTGTGCATCCAGGAAGTAATGTGCGTCCTTGCAGCTCTTCACTCACCAGCCATCGCCCACACTTTCTCCCCCACCCAACCAGTGATGCATTGCGGCTGACCTCTCTGCCAGTCTCCTAAGCATTGTTGTATGTCTAAAAAAATCAACCAAAACTATCAGTTACTTAACTCTGATACCCTTTACAGCCTCTAGTATCCGTACTCGCTGACAACTTAAGCAGCAGGCACTTGTTGCTGAAACTATGCTTTCCTTTTCCGTGAATGTATGTTATTTCTCTCAAACGCGCATACAAGACCCCACTTCGGTCGTGTATCTCAAGCCGCTTAGGACAAGCTTAGATATTTCACGTTCATCGGTTATCTGGTGATCCCTACTTGTTCCCGGCCAATACAAACTTTCAGGACAAGCGTTCATAGTGAGCTATTCTGAGGCCACCAACCGAAAGCCAGTCATAGGCTCAGTTGGATCATTTGGTTGTAAGTTACTAATCGAGAGCGCAGGTTGACTACGATCATGTCTCTGTGCATGCTTGGTTATCAGTTCTCCGTCCTTCAGGATTAAGAATGCCGAAGCTGAGCATTCCCTTCGTCAACTTCAGGGAGTCTGAGTATCTTAACGATATCAAGCTGATCTGGCTGGGAAGGAACCGGAAACGTACGGTTACGCTGACAACGACGATCGGTTACAGTGTGAATGGAATTGATTGAAAAAACCTATGCTCACCTTGTAGACTACCCGTTTACTGATTCGACACTGCACCTTACATTCTGAAATGCAACGAGTACGAGCATCATTGTTCTAATGACCCCTTTTCAGTGTGTCATTTCACTTCGTTTGTGCTCACTATATCATGTAACTAATTTATTTCATCTGCCGTCTATTCACCCGTCTGTTTTTTTATAGATGAAACTGATCATTCAGTTACTTCATGGGGGCAGCCCAATAACAAGAAGTTCTCAAGTTCTCGGTGAGTGGCACTTTTGATCCAGCAGTTTTTGGTGCGCTTTACTAAAGCCGTATATCTATAAGATACGTCATTTCTTATTCTTCAATTTTTAGTGTTACGTTTTTATCCTTTCAGATCCAGACGCAGTACGGAGAATCCAAGTTGCAATCTATCCTCGCTTTCTACCGAAACAAACACCCGCAAGTTGACAAAGATGGAGAGACGTAAATTGTTTGAAGCGCAGGTGTGTGCAGCCGAATCGAAAACGGATGACTCCACTCCAGACCCGCCTCAGCCGTCAGCCTTTGGGTCTGATAACCTTGATGAAGTTGAAACGCTGCGTCAAGTAAGTTCTAGTGGATATTGGACTTCAGATGGGCTGCTTTGACCTTTTGGGTATTCGTAATCCGGAATACCGACTGAATGTGTTGCACCAGACCGCCTTATTTTCCAGTTGGCATGGTTTTCGACACCCGTTGTACAGACGTGACCCACTACTCAAAAGATTATTGGAGAGTTGTATAATAGTTTCAGAACACTTATGATTGATTTTTTGCGTCTATGTCAAGTTTGTTTGAATGCTGCTCGCAAGGTGAAATCCATGGTTTTCAATCGGTTACTGAGCTCTGCCATCCGTATCTCCTCATGACAGTTCAACCTAAACATAGATTACCATGTGTTCTTATCACCTACGGTATGGCATATATTCTGTCCTGGTATCATATCTCTTTTATTTACCTAGTTGATTCTGTGCTCACTCTTGGAGGAGTTGAAGAAAACTGGTCCGGATCTTTCGAAATTCGGAACACCCGGGAGCGAAGAGGGACGAACTGCCGTATTGCTGAATACATTGCTGCAAACACTGCCCAGTCTTCTTTCAAAGTTAACAACTACCAATGATATCAGCGCAGTAGGTTATCCAAATTTCATTCCAGTGCATTTCTTTCCACTATGTTTTCGGCTTTTGTTTACAAGTTCAGCAGCTCCGCCAGTGTAATACAAACTTGTGTAGGAATACCTGGCTACCGAAATGTAGATGCTTTGGTTACAATTTTTCGCGCACATATCCAGGTGGTGGAGTAAAAATCCATGGGTTGGCTTTAATTTCAGCCAGCTGCCCTCTGAGGCGAGGTGAGTAGTCCATTTAGTTTGCTCTAGATTGTTTGCCGTTGTGATCGGTGGTGGCTGACCTAGATGCGTATCGAATGAACGTATCAAGAACATTTTTGAGAATCTGAATGTCCATCTTTAACTCAAAAAAATCCCCCCGTCTGAAGCGCTTATTGCGCCACTCTAATAGTCTCGAAAACAATCTTCTGATGCTTATCATCCAGCTTTCCATCTTTTGAACTGCCTTGTTGGTTCTCGACACATTCATCGTCGTGTGAAGAACTGTGCGACTCAGTGGTAAAACTAAATCAGTCACATGTAGTCGAACGTAATCCAGCAATAAAAGGGTCACTTTCCGAATTCGATAAAACTAGCCTGAAGCATCGGTAACTTTTGACGCTAGGATTATCCGAATCATCGGCTGGTGTTCAAATTGTGGATTATGCCCTGACAGTCAGAGTTATTAGTTATCGCCTAAACGTGATCCACCTTCTTCCCTTCCTCTAAATTTCTGTGGGACATTGAGCATGCGCTGTATTACGGGACTTGGTGAGGCGTCCGGTGGTGGGATAATATATTCTACACTTGCCAGTGCGATTCGAGGATGCTTGAACTGGTCTACTAGTATACCTTCTAGAAGCAACATATTAAAAAGTCCCGCGCCCTCATTATTTTCTGGTTATGTTGATAATTGTCGGTAAACTTACATCATTTGACTCGTGTCCAGTGACACTTTTCCGATTGAGCGAAATGGTAAGCAGCGGAAGGCTTCCGGCATACTTGTGCGACAGTGCAATTTTTGAATGAACAGATCGATTTACAGTTTCCGATTCCCACCATTCGACCTGTTTCCATCGGTCGCCCTGGTTTGAAGGCCTGTGTGGGACTCTTTCCGTGGTACAACTTCTGGGATTATATAGGCACACGAGTCGCATCACGACGAAATTTAGGTTTTTGTATGTAGAAAGGACAGCATTAGTAACCTAAGGTGATTAAGTTTCCGGATATTCATTCAGGTAAACGGAATGGATAATAGAAGAGTAATCGTTTGGTTTTGAAACCAAATGCTGTGGCGCTTTAAGGTGGGCACATAGCGGGTCTGTGGGTACCACAGGCTCAAAAGTACGTCACTATCACTACAGAAAAACTCCTTTTTGAGCAGAGACTTTTCCGGTCCAAGTATATTTCAGCCCGTTTGTGATTGGGGCACTTGAGAATCTGGTCCTCGGGGTCGTTACTTCCCTTATCGCGGGCTAACGGCTACACCCTCTTCACAACAATAAAGTGCCGAATGCTAATCACACTGTTATAAATCGTCCACAGATTTTAGTTCCGAAACTACAGGTGCTGCGCCTATCAGGACGAGGGTAAGCAATCTGATCGGGTTCGTAGCTGTCAGGCAGCTCCAAGCAACCACGAAGACTGTGATTCCGCGAGATTGCCCGTGCCTGCAGAAGGACAAGTGTGGAACTTGTGGTTGGGTTCAAACCACAGAACCTCTGGTCATTAGTTCCATACCTTGGCCATTCCACCATCTCGAACGTCGAGTGCACATATGGTGACCAGACTGATACCATCTATAATCTTATTCACTTGGCTGCCCAAGACAACGCATGTGGGCGGAATCAACGGCTTATTGGAACACATGCAAAGGCTTATCATATAAATTTGAGAAGCTGGCACACTGCACGAACTTCCCTCACCTCTCAACAGGTCGGGTGAAACTCAAACATCCTGAATAAGGATTCTTGTTTTTCTTTGACAGATTTTTCGTTTTCTCACCTGTAGTGTTTCAGATCACTGCTGAGATGTACTATGGAGTAGGCTGAGAAGTAGGAGAGCAGCACGACATTTCGAAGTCTATTGAATCTTCAATTGTTACAGTGAAACTTCTTGTACATGCCTTACGCAGTTGTCTTCTGCTCTTTGTATTCAAATCTGATTTACTTTACGGTGACTCTTTTGCTCTGAATCAGCCTCATATGTCATCTACTTCTATTCATGAATGGTGGTCGAAGCCCAGGTCCGTACAGATTGGGACCACATTTCGGTTATAACAGCTTTACCAAATGCTAAGTCGAAACCGACCTCGCTCTTCCACTGTCCTATGAGGCGTTAGTGCCATTCTAAGCGCAAAAAAACCGTCCATATCAAACCGTTATCTGCGTCTTGATGTTCTGAAATGTAGCTCAGTTATGCATCTCAGTGCGTTCATCTCGTTTCAGTTTAGGAAGAAACGCTACTCTGTGTGAGGCCTTTCAATCACCCGAATCTTTACATGTTTGTCGCCCACGTATGTTACCTCTTTGGGGTTCCATGGTCTCTCGCGGAAATACTGAACACCTGTTTCATAGTTGCTAGATATAATGAGTAAACCCCACACTAAACCCATGGCAACTCGCTGGGGCGAAATATTGTATTAGTATCACTACTTACTCTGTCAGTATGAGAAAAAGCTTTTAAACACTTCAAATTGTGGCGAACGACAACTTAGTGCTTAATCCGCTACTGCAATCCGCCTACTGTGAATCTATTGGTCTGTCGCTAGTTTTTGATATTTTGTCATGTAGCTCCCCATGAAACCGGTCTAATCTCAACATCCGTTGTTTATCGTGTATGCAGATTAATCGATTATGCCAGGAACTGCAAAAGCGTAAAGCTGACCCTGTCAACGTCCTCCCCGCCGGATGGCAGTCAGCCGTGGATCCAAGTGGTCGCATATACTATTACAATATGTCTACCAAGGTCGTTCAGTGGGAAAAACCCGGTTGCAGAGATGGTAATGACCATAATAAATTGGGTTCAACTGAACCGTCAGAGAAGTCTACGGTAAGTGATCCGTGAAACACGATGTGCCTTTCTATCCATTCACCGGTCCAGGTCAGAGACACACACACGGGCTTAGGAGATGTGCGACGTGTGCAACTGGGGCACATCACTACCTGTGAACCCAGCAATATGATCTGTGAATCAAGAGCCGAAATCGTTCACCAACATTGAAAGTTTACACTTCTCATGCTTCTGACGCAGCGCCGTGGGTTTCCTGGCTAAGGCAGAGTATTCGTCGCTGGCACGCCCCATTATTGTTGGATGGTTCAGCGGTGAAGCTATCCCAGGTAGATAAATGAATACTGAATGTTTGGGTGCTTGGTTCTCCGAGGCTTTTCATAGTTCAGTGAAAAATACCGTCTCATGCAGTGTGACAGTCGCATTGTTTGGTCCTCCGGGCAACAATATCAATTGAGCCTGGTTTTTGGAACATGTTGGCTAGTTTCACCACCCGATGGCTTGCTCAGTCGTTTGCCCTTGAATTTCCGATCTCTTAGAATGACGACCGGTTTTGCGCACTAGCACAGTGGCAAAAGTGGAGAACTGGGATGGCAGTGCATCCAAATGTGGATACTAAAGACTGAGTTTTGAGTGTTGTGTAAAGTCATAGGTATGGAGGTCCCAACAAAGGACCCGGTGACTAACGTTTCAGGTGGCACCAGCCAAACTGCAGGGCTATTCGGGATTTCAGTTTAGTTGAGTTCTTTTCATACTCTACTGCAGCGAAGCGTCAGTGTTGAACACTGATGCCATACTGTTGATACTGATGTCGATGATGGTTCGTACTGTCTCTCGGAGGACCCGGATATCATGCTAGAAAATGTTGGTTGTTGCATTTAGCTTCAGTCATATCTTCTGCAGAATGGATACGCATTGCAAGACGGCGCGACGAGGAACCACAGTTAGTGTACAACAAAGAACATTGCTCAAATATATACGTTAGGCGTGTGCGGCAAACCGGTATGTCAAATCCCCCAATTTTCAACATATCTACGTGTTTTTACCAGCATATTTGTAATCTGTGGAGAATAGTACATGTATCGTCACTCCACACAGTTAAACATCAGCATTTACTGCTGCTGTATCACCGTCGATAATTATGCTTCTCTGTAAACTACCGAGGTATCTGAAAACATTCTTGATGTGCGTCCAGAATTCAACGTGGTTTTCAGATAGGATTATTTAATTTCAAGACTGCTCCGTATTATGTCCACTTATTTTCTCTCTTGTTGGCAGCAACCCGTTTTGAGCGCCGATGTGCGTAAGCAGATGGAGAAGGACTTCACACAAGAGGTAGGTGGTTCTATGCAATACATGCGCTTGTGAAATTTGTTCCGTGGCTGTTAGTTTATGTTTTTTTTATGTAACATAGGTTGGGAAGTTCATCCTCCGTTTGCTTCGACCGTATCGTCTACCCAACTGCATGACTGGACGGATAGAGTCAAATGAAGATCTTGTTCACGTTACCAGAAAGGTCAGTCATTTCAGTCTGTTTCGTTTTGTGCATTTACCGTAATATGACGTCAGATGGATGAAAATATCTCTTCACATAGTGTTCGCTCACCCCATTCGGAACTTTAATCTANATCGGAAGAGATTTTTCAACTCAATATATGTTCGTACTCTTATTGCAAATGTTTATCAAGCAAATCTGTTAGATGTATATTTACTGTAATTATGGTAGCGTGATTTTTCTAGACCAATCGCAATATAGGGTTCTTTGTACAGGTTCTTTGTACGATCGAGACATTGTTGAATACCAGTGACTTCTTGATGTCATTGTAACTCGCACAACTTTCACTTGTTGTTGTTTATACAGCACCTTGTGGAAACCCTTACCGCTTCACTCGTTTTCCACGCTGGTATCATCATCATCATCGACAGCATGACATCAGTGTTCAACACCGATGCTTCACTGCCGTACAACCATGACTTATTTGAGAGCCTTATTATAAAGAAAAGAGTAAAGGTGGACGGGGGATGAACTTAGTGCTTGCTTAACATCATTCCGAGGTGCCTACACCTCCAGAC